CTAAATGTCGTTCAATTTTCCTTTCCTCCTCGATTTTTCATAATTATTAGGGAAACTATACGGAAAAACAGTGACTTTCTCACTTACAAACTAGAAAAATTTTCTTTCAGAAAATATGCTATTCTTGAAATTTTGATAGAAATGTCTATAGAAAAATACAATCTTAAACATTTTAAATAATGAAATCGCCGTGTCGTAATTTGAAAAAATCGTGTTTTAAATATTTTGAAATTATTACGATAACTACTTTAGACATCAACAAATTACTTTACCTGTTAGTTGTTAGATACTTGATGGAATAAAACGGAATTTGGTTTTTCTACTTATTTTGAAACTACTTTAGATATAAAAAAAAACGACTTTCTTTGTCGGTGGCTGTATATTATATCTATGTGGATTAAAATCAATCTCATGTTATTTTTCGATTAGAACAATATTTCGAATAGAAAACATAGTTTGCAAAAATTAAAAACAATGATATTGGTAACGCCTTGGCGTGCCGTAAATATTTATCTTTTAACTATAATTCTCTTTCCGGTTTTTTCAATTATTTTGAAAACCTCTTAGAAAATTAAAAAAATGACCTTTTAATGCACCTGTTAAAAAAAAATGCACCTGAAGGTCGAAACGAGGTTTCCTGAAAAAAAGTTTTTTAGTAAAACTTTGCTTGATCCACTCAGAATCTAAAACGATGTGGGCAGGTTTTTCTACTACTTATATTTTGTTCATTCCGTCCTTTGAAACTTATATATGACACTGATTTTTTTTTTCTTTTCCGATGATGTACCGTGAAAAAACTACAACTATAATAATCTTACTCATTCACATTTTTTTCTTTTTGCATATAAACTTTTAACTTGACGAGTTAAATTTATCTTTTGTTTTAAATTTTTACTAATGACTCTTTTGTTTGTTTAACTTAACGTCTTAATTGAGTTTGCAATCACACATTGGTAGCGTGAGTGTAAACGATTCGTTTTTAAAGTGATTAAGAGTTATAAATAAAAAACCAAAAACTAATTTGTGAACCGATGTTTATATAAATGACCCATCTGTTTTCTCGGCCAGTGGATTAATTTCGCACTGTAGTGATGTTTGTGCAAAATTGATACCATACTAGGTATATTGATAATAATATTTTATATTAATGTACATATATATATATGGTTCGCTGAATGCAGAAAAGGCATAAGAAAGACGAAAAACTCCATGAACACCGTGGTATATGTAGTTTTATAATATTTCATAAAATAACTGTAGAAACTCATCATACTGATATCAAACAATAATTATTATCATGCAATTTGTTTTTCAGAGATATTATAAGAGCTTTTGTCTTTTTTGAGAAATTTAAAAAAATTGTAAAATGTAATTTTTCTGCATTTAGTGATTTGTATAATAGTTTTATGGAATGTTACATAAACTACATTACATTACATATATAGAAATTATACATGTATAACTCGCGGTGTTTTAAACTGTTTCGGACGTGTGTTTACGACGTCGATGAAAAACCGTCTTAAATAAATAAAACTGAACAGCATATACGTAATAACAATATCATATATAAGAGTATAGAACATAATATTTCTATCGCCACCGCGCGCGTAAGTATGGATTATTTTTCAAGGTGAATGGTTTCACATGTTCCCGTTCATGTATATACTTAGTTGGTATAATGATTTGTATTACAGGCGTATATACTACCTGTGCATAAGTATAAAAAGTATACTTGCCTATGTAGAACCGCGGTAAACTAGAAAAAAAAAACCGTATTTGTATTTTGAAATTTTACTCTACAGTAAAATAATAACACAAGTTATTGCATGAATAAACACGAGTTATTCACTGAGTTATATCATGAGGTAGGTACTCTAAACTTAGTACGAAAGAAAGCAAAGTGTTCGGAAAAATATGTGGCCCAGTTTATAATATGGAAACGAGAGCGTATGCAATAGAAGACATGATTCCGATTTACAAAATATCGGGGATACCACATATCCCACAATCGTACAGCAGTAAAAGGAAGATTAAGTTGTTTTGCCACATATGAAAATAATCAAACTAGTAACTTAAGGAAGAATTGTGAGAAGCAAAAAACTTCTCAGAAAGCCTCGTATAAGATAAAAAGACGTCCTGGAAAAAAATTTAGAATATATCTTATTAAATTATACGATAATTTAATATAATATAGTTATTATCTATTATTTCGGTATTTAATACAGATAACTAGGAAGATAAAAAAAAGATTAGATATTTTGGGTTTATCTACATCATTATGATTGTAATATACAGTAATTATTTGGCATAAAATTGTAGTTTATTTTCAATAATTCTTCTATGAAAATCTCTAGACATATTTAATGGATTTCGAACTTAAAAAATATCGATTAGAATTATTAAAGTTGTTTAAAAAAAATCGAACCCAACAAAAATACTATAGCATAGTTATTTTATAATATTATATTAAATACCTATGGTATAACTTTGATTTAGTACAAAGTTGACCGACAAAATGTTCACAATTTAATTATTCATTCGTAATATGATTATATTAACGACTTTCGGTAGTTTGAAACGCAGATCATTACATTCGTTTTTTTAAGCATAAGAAACAAATTCGCGGTTTATATACATTTGTATCCAAGTGTAATGTAAAAAAATAAATATATTTTAGGATATATTTTGTATACATTGTGTTTTATTCAATTGGTAACGCGAAATATACATATATCAGAGACATACTGAAGCACGGAGGACAGTAGTTAAAAGGTTATTTAAAATAAAGTTTAAATCACATTTCTTTTGTCTACATAATCTAGTCTTATTGGATTGATCAATAAACGAATAATCATTGAAAATGTACACATTATCAAATAAATAAACATTTATATTAATATTAAGTTACCATTTGAATGAAATCGAATATATAGTAAATAAACAAGTCATAAAAAGAACATTTTGTATTTATCAAATTAATTGTATTTTACATAAACGAAGAAAAAACTAATAATTAATAACCACCCGTTACCAATAAAGTAAACAAAGAAAAAATAATCATCTATTTTTGTTTTGGGGCGTACGATTTTTGAAAACCTATTTAATGAGAGCGTAAAATATAAGGTTGGGAATCTCTGCTATACTTCAAGAGAAAAGAAAGATAATACCATGATTGAAAAATATCCGTGATATCGTTTGGAGCAAGTGAAACGATTCGTACATCATTCGATAACGAAAAAATATTTTTATAACCACTAACATCAAAAAATAAGAACTGTATGAACAAAACGCATGCCTTCAATTTGGAACATTAATTTAAGATTCTGATTGGAACGAGGAATGTATCATCATACAATGATCTGTATTATTTATATATTTGTGTTCTGTGAACAATTTTGCTCAGATTTTGAAGTGTAGCATTTTTTTTTTTGAAAGAAAATTTGATTGGAATGGTACTATAAGTACGTCATTTTTTGATTTTCCTGGAGGTTTTCATAATAAATAGGAAAAACGGGAAAATGTACGAAATGTATTATTTTCAAATTGTATAAATATTACGGTCTTTCAAAACGTGTATAACCAAACTCCGCTCAGAATCATTTTCCATTAGTATAGATTAATCATTACATACAGATATATATTAAGTACCCCTCTGTATCCTACCTTTTTAACTTTTTGACTACAACAGTGGCTCGTCCGTCTTGAAAAGTATGTCTTTATTATGTTTTTTTTTTTAATGCGATTTCCACAAAAAATTTATGATACATTTTGGAAAATGATCCCCTTTATAGTAACATCCGCGGTGTTCAATTACGCGCGTTCATAAAGTTTTAGAATGAAACTTTTTAAGGATTTTAAATATAATAATAACGATTCTTAATTTACTTTCTACACAAAAAAAAAACCGCTTCAGTATAGTTTCGTATAATAATAAATAACACAATGATAATAAGAATAATAATAATTTTCCGAAAGTAAATATTATATTAGCTACGACAATACATACAAAAAAAAGTATAACGATATACATAATGAAAATAACAATAACTACTCTCGAGACAAAAAATATCTAGACTCATTTATACAGTAAGCTTATACTTATTTAAAGATATGAATACATAATCATATACGGGATCTTCTAAGTTGTATTTTAAAGTTTTAAAATCAGGGGCACCCAATATCCTACTCTCGAAACTGTAACATAAAATTTGGAAGACCCTATATATATATATATTTACCTACGACGTTAATTATTTTTCAACAAGAAAAGATTTGGTTTTAATATAAAAACTACAATTTTTGATTGAACGAGATTATAAATTAAATTATACGCGTATAAAAATGAAAAAAAAAAAATTAAATTATTTTAAAGTATGATATTATACCGTTTGTGTTAATATTTATATTGAAACGAAAATTAGATTTTTTTTCATCACCCTTCAATTTTTCGTACCTAATGTTTTTAATGGGAATTCATTATTAAATTTTGAACTGAACGCTGTTAGTAATTATATAACAATTTTCTCGACATTTTTTTTTTTTTATTATTTATGTGAATGCAATTTGGCTTGGTGGAAAAATTTAAAAATTGGGTCTGAACTAAATTTTAAGTCGTTATTTATATTGGTCAGGAAAAACATTTTTAGTAATATAATATTTTTCAAATAAATATATATAAGTATAATAATTTAAAGGCGTTTGTAGTACGAAATTCATTGACACTCGTAAAAAATGCACACAAATTGTGATTTATTTTGTAGATATTAAAAAAATGGATACACATTAAAAATTCAAATCTGGCTTATCTTTGCTCTAATCTCACGTAATTGAGGTCAGCTATATGTTTTTATTCCTGCTCTCCACTTCTACCAAATCCATTAAAATGTCTATGCCTGTTTCATGTCTCCATGTTTCTCATGATATCCTATAAGCTACTTTTTCTTCAAGTTATATTTAACTATCTGATGTTTGTTTGCGCGTTGTTTCAGCTGGATGGACGAATGTTAGCGGGCCGAATGAAGCAAGTGAACGGCGGCGTCGCAAGAAATTTGGCGGACGCTTTGGGCCGGCTCGGACACAACGTCCGTTTCATGTCGGTCGTCGGCGGTGACTCCGCAGGCCAATCGATACTCGAATCGCTACGTCATATAGTAAGTAAAATATTATTATTTTTATTTTGAGCGTACCTAAGAAACAATATCAGCTTTAGAAATATTATTTATTTATTTTTCGGTTAATAAAAATATTCAAATTTGTTCTTAAAATTATTACGGACTTTTTTTCCTGTGAACAACTTTTCTACCGGCAATTTTGCTCCGATTTAAAATGATAGCATTTTTTTCTGTAAGGAAATCTGATCGGGGAAATACTTTAGAGATGCCATTTTGTGATTTTCTCGGGATTTTTCTCAATATATTGAAAACTGGAAAAAACGTAAGAAAATAGGTACTTACAATATTAAACAAATATTTTTAAAGATTTTTACCATAATATGACATATACATTGTTGACAAAGCAAAATTATCAACTGAACTCCTCTCAGAATCGTTTTTTCGTTAGCAATGGTTTATCGTTGCTCACAGATATACTTTAAATTTGCTCTTTACTATCTCCTCAACTTCTCACCTACAACAGTGGCCCACCTACGTGACCACGTGTGATGTATGTCCGTCTTTTTTTTTTTCTAATTATGATTCACTTCTATAAAGGGCACAGACTACGTCACGGTGTTCAAAGATATCCCTACTTCTTGGTGCGTGGTCCTCCAAAATCCGCAAGGCGATTGTGTGGCGTGTATCGGTGACATGGCGTGTCACCGACAAATTTCTGTCGACATGGTAACTATATCTTTATTATTGTTGTCTGTCAACAAATTACACTGTAATCTATTTTTATAATCACGAACTAAAATAATATCATCTAACTGTCTAATTGCAGTGAAAATTCTTCACTCCCCGAATATTATACATAATATAGAGGTATTAATACATATCCAACTTAAAAGTCTGTTAATTCAATGGTGAAACCAAGAAAAGGTGGGTTTGGACTTGAGCAGTTATAACCGAAATTAAAGAATTTTAAATCTTACGTAATAATTTATATAAAGCAGTAAAAAACTAGTAGCGGGTATTTAATTTTTGTTCAACCTATGATTTCTACTAACATTGTTTTTCTCTGAAAATAACTTTTTTATAAATAAAAATATTCTTATTTTTTCACATCGTACATTGGAATACGTAATTGATCATCCTGTGGTTTCTAGATTTGCAACAGTTTTTTAAGCAACTTAAAACAATAATTGACAAATAACGATGCATTGGATTTCTTTTATTATTGATTTTGTTGAATTTTGGGTTATTTTTACTACATGGGAAAAACATGACCCCTGCCTTATCAGATTATATAGCTCTATTCAATTTTATTGATTGCAATTATTTATAACTGCATACAGTATACACTTAATATCCCTGTATATTCTATAGATACTTACTCTCCCAACTATCCACCTGCAATGGTGGAATAGTTGTGAACAGTATTTATCAACTTGTTGGAAATATATAACGTCTACTCCTCCACCTCTCGAAAATGAATCCAGGTTACAGCACATATTATAGTCATCATTTTATACACAAGATTTTTGATAACCATCAACCAAAGCTGTACAAGTTCCTCAAATTTCTAACATATTAAAATTGAGTTAGTTATTTATTTCTATACAAATTTATTGAAAGAAATGACAAAATAACCAATCTCATTAAGTTAGAATAAATCTACTTCAGTTTGAAACAAGTGAGAAGCATATTAAAATTTTAAAATAAAATCGATAACCTAAAACCATTCCATCAAAAATTTTAACTACGTATATCATTTTATCTTTACAAATAGAGCGGTTCTATATAAATTAGAATTCTGGCTATAAACCTATAACATTAATAGGTATGATACTGTTAATAACTATAATCTGCAGTTACCATTTGCGTATTATATAATTATAATACATTGGTAGCAAAATCATTATTGTTAATGTCACATTTGAATACTTGAAAATTTAAGTATAGATTTTATAAACACATTTAAATAAAATATTTTATGCATCCAAAAAACGCGTTAAGTAAAAAAATAATTCATAATTTATAATTAAGTAATTAGTTAGCTTTAATTCTGAACTTATAAGAAAAATTACTTTTCAACTTAATTCTAATTAACCAACTAGTTAGTGTCTGACTTTTTCGTTAATCAATCTGACTGTAGATACTTTAAACTCAAGATTTTACCTTGAGTAACACGTAATTGTAAATTCTAAAATATTTTAATAAATTCCATTTTACTTTAGAATAAAATATGTAAAGAAGATAAGACTTTATTTTAAAATGGTTTTCGTTTGCAAATTGGCAGAACACGTTAAAAATAATAGTAATTGAAACATTAGTTCGTGGATCCCTGTAGGAGAGGCTCACAATACTCCTACGTACCGCTGTTCGTCAAAAGAGACGATAATTGGGGTTATATCAGGTTGACAGCCAATATAAAATTCTATTAAACAGGATGAGCAGTTCTAAATTCAAAACTTTGGAATTAGTTTATTTAGATTTCATAGGACACAATCTGAAAAATGTTAACAATAGGCTTGAGGAATGGAGTGTATCACTTTAAGGAAATGGACTATAAATATAAGTAAATGTAAAACAGAATGTATAGAGTATGAGTTTAGAGGAAGAAAACAAGAGAGTGACAGGCCTAGACAGCTAATGTCAATATAACTGATAGCGTAATAGGCAAAATTGGAAGTTTTAGGTACGAAATAACGGTTACTTTGACGAAGATGTGAAATATAGGATTAAGTGTAGTTGTACAAAGTGAAAAGAATGCATAAGATGTTTTATATAGTAAAAATATTTCAATGAGACTTGGTGGGGGGAGGGGGCAGTGAAATGGAACAAGTGAAGGAGAAGAAATATTGGATCATCAGGAGGATAGTTATAATTTGAAAATCTAACCGTTTTCACTCAATTCCGTTGACTCATAATCGAATACATTATTTTAGTCACTGGTACTAAAATAATGTATTTTTTATCTTTTTACCATTGCGTCTCGTCTTCATCGATAACGGTGACTTCGAGTGCGTGCTATACCGGAACGTTTATACGAAAATTTTAGCACGGGGCGTGGTTGAATAATAATAATATTTCGAGTCGTTCGTTGAGTTTACGTTTTAATCGTTACAAAAATATAACGACAGTCCATTAATATCCATTAGTGGGCCGGCACCGATGCCTCGGGCTCCGCTCGTCGTTCGTTTAATAATATATGCATATATATAATAATAATATTTTAACGACGATGGTTATAATTATCGTAGTAATAATTAGGTACATCGATTTTTTTTTCGCATTCGATTAATTGTAAATGATAAACAAAAAAAAAAAAAAAAAAATGATTATACGCCTCCGAACAATAGAACGCTGGTGACCAGTGTAATACTCGATAATAATAATTCGGGTATGTTTTTATATCGGTCATTCAAAGAAAATAAAATAAAAGAAATACTATTAATCGATACCATTGTCAAAGCTTTTGAGTAAAAATAATAGTAGTCAGACTATATAAAATTCTAGAAAAAAAGAAACCGCACACGGCTGGTATTCAGTATGAATTCTAAACAATGCAAATGTTTAGTCTAGAGAACAAAAAAAAAAACCCCCGTTTATTTTAACTCGAAGATTTAATAAAAATAAAAGTTTTCAAAAAGTTTTCCACTTTAATATAGTAATTGTCTTAAATAAATAAACGGATCCAAAGTAAAACAATATAATGGTAATATACGAGAGCAGCTTACTTTTTATATGAACGGTGTTTTCTGTTTAACTCGTAACATTCAAAATTTCCTTGGTGAATTATTATGTGTACTTCACATCGGTGTCCAGAAATATGGGTAAAACAACTTCGTTTTTTATTTTTTTATTTTCGTCAAATATTTATCTAAAATAGAGACTATCAGTGGCATAGCCAAGATTTATAAATAGGGGCGTAGAGAATTTAAGAAACCATAACTTTCTTAACATTATCTATAGCTAAAAAGAAAGCAAGGGGGGTTCAAAATACTCAAAACCTTCCTGACTACGTCACTAGAGACTTTTGCATTGTATTGTGTCTGTTATACATACGCATATAAAGGGAATGAGAAGAAAAATGATTTTACATTTGATATAAATAATATAATGGTCTGAAGGTGGGAGAACACTGCATAGGTCGTATAGTATTTTATCTTCAGGTGTAAAAATTCCTAGTTTTGTCACTGCTAAGAGATCCAGATGATGGTCACGACAATCGTGTACGAACAGAGTGCAAGCAAACTTAAGATTATTGAAAGTCTGAAATGCAGACGAATATGTTAATGATAGGGAAGTACAAAGAAAGTATGTTTTGTTAAGACATTGGGCCTTCAATAGTTCAAAAATTAAGCCTTCAAAACCTTTGAAATCAATACAATTTAGTCGTTAGTACGAATAAATAATCAAACTATAACTAACTTAATAATTTCTTACTCTCAGTCCACACTCGTACAGATATACATTCAAAATTGAGTTAACAAAACATATGTGGTCTTGATTCTGTATTATAACATTGCTATGTATTAGAAATGTTATACGATAAATAAATAGTTAAGGTAAATAAACAAATTGAAAAACAACCGAAATAGTTGGTGCAGATATAATTGGATCTTAGTAGGTAGGTATATAAAATATATTTTTGTAATGTCAGAAATCGGTTAAGGAAATGATTATACGCGTTTTTATGTTTACATAATAAATTAATCTAGGAAGTTAAATAATTGGACGACTGCCGAAATAAAAGTATAAATAATACATAATGGCAACGGGGAATACAATTTTCTTGAAAGATTATTTTCAATTAATTTCACCTAATTTTAGATATATAGGTAGTGTGAAATTTGATGATCGAGTCATACGAAAAACAAAGTTCTATTATATACCCTATACATACGTTTATTTATATATGTATGTATTGTTTTTTAACTTTATTATAACAAACAATTATTATCTTGTAGTCGTGTCTATGGCAACTGATTTAATTTACGTCTTACGACTATATTAGCGATTCAAAGTAGCTTTTAGTTTATTAAGTATATACAATAATGTAAATATACTTAATTGCAGATTCAAAGCAGAGTGACTGAACTATTCGTTTTATAATTATGTGCTGTTTTTTTCCTTGAACAATTTGTTTATTTTGTTCTTAGAAAGTTTCACAGACGAATTGTATTCTATTGCATTACGTGCCTTGTAAAGTGCATAACAACTGCCTATGTAAAGTTAATTTACCGGGAAAGAACAATGCGTTTTACGAAATTATAGTTTTCAAATTGAAAATTATTATTATTATTGTATTTTATTGATCGTCAAACTTTAATGATAAACTGCAATGACGGTGCAATCTGCTAAACAATCTTTTATTGTTTTAATATTATGATGGTTATTTTTTAGTTATTATTATAATTAGATTCAATATTTTTTCAAAAATTGCATTTTAAATTTACAGAATTCAATTTTTTTTTTTGTTTTACTAAGAATAAACGATATAATTTAAAAATTATTTTCAATTTATATTATTATTATCCTGCAATTTATAAATGACTATATTGTTTTATACCCCAATAAAATTATTAATCAATTACGCGAAACCTGTTGGAATATTAATATAAAAACTGTATCAACTATACCAAATTATAGTATTATTGAGTAATTTAGAAATATTAATGTATAAAAGGTAAACTATTAATTATTTTAACTAAAGCGATTTAACGAAATAATATTACTACCCATAGTATTTGATTAAGTATTTAGTCATGTATATTTTCGTAACTCCAGCGGTACTTTACTTAATACTGTTAAATCTGCTGGTATCCCGATAAATCAGATTCGCTTTCATCCTATAGTTTTTATCGAATTTCCCTCCCGAAAATAGACACTTTTGCATTATATCGCAAGTCAACGAAGCGATGAATTTTAAACCCGTTCCCTGGTCCCTAAATCGCGATTTTGGTAGTTTCGGTGGCGTTTGATATATTATTATACAATACCCACATATTATATAATATATAAGTATATACTTATACGTAAAATGTACATTTATATTTTTCCCACCTACTTTTGGTAACTTCTAATGGTTTCCTCTAGATCAATTGAGCCCAAATTCAGAAATTAGTTCTTTTTATCGGTGGATTGAAATAAAAAGTGAAGGTAAATTTCAGTATATTTCAGTAGAAAAAGATCTTATTTTAAATATCAACACCCTTAAAGGCCTCCCTCCAAATAATTTCAGGGAGATTAGTGAACAGGATGTAGTTACTTCTGGAGGTTTCAACACTTTTGTTTCAACCCTCAATTCGATTCCCTCATTATTTATAAATCAAAGTTTCATGTCTTTAAATATTCCCATCACTTTCGTTTTTACAACAACAAATCAATATACAATTCGTTTCATGTCACCGAGAAGATCAAGAAAAATATTGACTTATTGTACCAGAGTCCACTCGTCGTCGTCGACGGCAACGTACCTGCAGATGTGATTGATTTTGTGGTCAGATTCTGTAACGAGGAAAACATACCAGGTACGTCTATCGTAAGGGGAGTGGATCCCTTACAAAAACAAAACAATTCTTATTTTTTAGCTAAATATTTATGTTATGATGAGAAAAAACTATCCTTTCTCGTATATTCTATACAACAACGGGACAAAACTAGTTAAAAAACAATAGAATAACTTTTACATTTGAAGTTAACCAGTAAAAATAAAATCACAAGTAAAAATTCAGTTTTACTTGAATTTTATTTTTATCATATAGATATAGGAATCTCATATAGATAATACATATAGAAATGCATTTAAAAATACTTCTATTATGAAATCAATATTTTTAAAAAATTTTTCTAGATTTTTTATAAATTATGAAAAATAAAGTTGTCTCGCTTTTGCACAAATCCCTTCGATTTCCCTCAAATGTGCATTATAATATTATATTGTTACATTCACGTTTTATTATCTTTCTGGTGTAGTGTACTTCGAGACCACAGATATCGCCGTGGCCGCGAGAACGTTTCAGACGGACACGTGGAAAGGTCTGTCATTCATCTCTCCTAACCTCAATGAACTGGGTCGGATATCAGAAGTCTTAAAAAGTAAGTATACATTTATATAGTTTCATAATCTTGAAATCATTTTAATAGTATATACTCGGCTTAATTTTCACACTTAAATCCCTTAAAATGTAACCATTCGATCATTTGTTTTTACTAAAATGATGAGCAGTCTAAAAAAAAAATGGAAACAAAAATAAACAGACATACTTCGTATGATGGGTGGGCCACTGTTGTTGGTGAGACGGGATGAAGGTAGAGACGAAATTGAATGTACGCAACAATTAATCATTGCTAAGCAATGAACTTTTCTGAGCAGAGTTCAGTTATACGTGTTTTGAAAGGGCATAATATTTACGATTTGAAAATAATATATCTTGTACATTTTCCCGTATTTCCTATATTTTTTCTCGATTTTAACCATTTATTATGAAAATCCACGGGAAATTTAAAAAATAACATCACTTCGTTCAGAATCCAAAATATCGAGAAAAATTAGTAAAATTCGGTGATTGTAAAACATGCCTAAGAAATTGATTGAAGTGAAAAATCCGAAAAACCCAACGATTTTTTTTTTATTTCCACAAAATTCAAATAAGTTATAGAAATCATATATCCATATTATTATTCGTTATGGATACTCGTTGTGCGGATGTTTACAATATGTAAATACATTTAAAATTCTTAGTGATTAACTATAATATTATATACATAATGTCACAGCTATACGCCCCAGTTCTATATTTAGTGTCACTCGATTTTGTACTGCGTATTATTATTTGCTCAAGGGCTAAAGGCTTTTATTGCCGTTTTATTTGCTCGGTCGTAGTATATTCCTGCAATTAGGTATGCACAAGAGAAAATGGTTATTCGCGCGTATAATTTTGACGATCAAACAATATACCTAGGTACGTTTATTATATTATACGCAATCTGTTAATTTGTTTCGTGCAGCTGTAGCAGCATCAGGGTGACATTATGTGTTTATTAATTATTAATAATATACCGAAGATATAAATTTACGTTTATAACTATTTGGTGTTATTAATTTTCCAATATTAAATGTCGCATATACACCAGTAGTAACTGAAGTTAATAATTTACACTTTTTGATTATGTTTATATAATTTATTCTTACGTAAATTTCTATTAATTCCGTATTCGTTTCGAAAAACAAAATGTTTAACGAGTAAAAAACCAATATTATGTACTGTCTGATCATTTTATCACGAGCACCCGGAGTAACAAAAATAGACCTGTGAAGGAGATAACGAAATAATAGATAATGTGGACGGAATTAAAAGAAAGCTTACCACTATGGCCGAAATTGTTGACGCCAAATAGACATTATGTCGGTCTGTATATACATATATATATATATATATACCTAACCTATATATGTACCTAACCTAATTGAGAAAAAAAAATAATATGAGTAATATGGTGAACTGGGGAATAGAGAAATGTCTACTAACATGTAGACCGCTTTTTTAAATATCCATTACATACTACCAATTTAATGCATAAGTGATTTTACGACGATAACTGACTGAAAAGACAAATCGTCGATCTTTGATTAGGTATTAGACAAAAAAGAGAATAGTATGTATAGAGCCTAAGACTTTTATTTTATTAAAGTTTTTTATTAGCCCCCATCACTGAGTTATTTATATAACGTATTCATATTTTTTATTGTTTTTCATCAATTATTATTATATGGTTTAAAACATGGTTATCATTCTATTTGGTATTCGGTTATCCATAGTTGCACACAAAAAGTCGCCAAAAAGGGACTACAAAGATTCTAATGAAAAATATGGAAAAATCACAAAAATCTCCTGTTTTTTGGTGAAATCTTGTTTTAATTACCACCAATTATTCAACAATTATTTTTGTGAATTATAATCATCTAGTTATTACAGTGTTCCACTGAGAATGCTACCCAAGAACCTTTTCAGCAACGATCCACTACTATACGATATACCGTTGTATAACCAATACCAATTCTATCTATTACCTTGTGTTAAAATATTTGGTTATATTATGGTAAATGAAGTTAATTAACGATACGACAGCGACAGTAATAATGTATTTCTTGATTCATTATTATAGCAGTTAGGATTTAAAATGTTTTAAATATGTTAAAATAAAAGTAATAAAACAAGACATTCAGGTACAGTAAAACTTCATCTATTTCCAATAGACACGAATTTCTCTCAATTTATTTGTTTTATAAAAAACTTGTTTGTAAACGATAAATAACCGAATACTGTATGTCTATTTGACTTAAAACTTTACTATTTCACTATTTCACATAAAAAAACATCCTCCTCCCACAAATATATAGTGAAACTCAACCCAACTTTTATAACTGTAATCTTCTTATATAACATTTATAATTTCCTAAGTTTAAATTGATTTAAACTATAGGAAGCTCCTTTATGTATACAAAAGTAGCGGGAAATAAAATTTTGTCTTAAATGATCCATTTTTATTATGTCAATATATTTTGGAATTTGTTATTATTAAATTGTGTGCAAATAAAAGTACGATTATCAATATTTTTTTTTTTTACTTTTCTTGGGGACATGATAAGTAAATAAATAACTAAACAGATATACACAGTTAAAATCCATTATTATTTAATGAACTGTTTATCTAAACCAGATGACTCTTTTAAATTATTTATAAGTACAATACATTTTATAATTTCATAAATTTAATGAAAGGTTTTATGCAATCCAGTGTAAGTATATGATTATCAACTAGTATCTGAGCCCAAAGTAACACGAAGTCACGAAATATACTTCGGTCATAATATAAACTTAGGTACTTAAACTTAAGTAAAGACTCGTATAACATATACGGTTTCAATGTAAAATTTATCAAAACTCCTCGTCGTTCATAATATCTACTCCATCTCCATGCGAGTATATAATATATAATACCTATTATTATTTTGAGGTTTTCACCGATTTAACAAAATGGACATTTTTGTTTTGACGTTATTCTCGGTTTATGCGAAATGGAATCCATTTTTACCTCGTACGTATTACGATAAAATATTATATTATAAGAACAAAATTCATCGCAAAGATACAAGCGTAGTCCTTGCCCCCGGAATGGACACCGAAAATTAACGTCGTGTATATTTTTTTCTCCTCCATCATAATGTAAATATACATATTTCGTATATCTACTTAATAGGTTAGAATATTTCCGCGTTATTTATCGTACAATGTTATGTGCATACCATAATGACGATTCATCAGAATGTGCCGATAAATAACGAAAAATGTTTCTGTTTACACCAATAATATGTTAGTTTATTGAGTTTCCGTTATTGATTATTTGAGGTTTAAATCACGCAATTCTTTGCACGTTTTTCCGATAATTTTTTACCGATTTCAGCCTTATTTCAAACATTAATAATTTTTAATTTTTATATGATTAAAAATAATTGTAAAGATCTAAATTTGTCACACGGTAAGTTTATTATCATTTTCTAAACGTGTTAAGTACCTTCTGGCCATTTTTAAACATTTTAAATATTTGAATTTGTTTAGTTGTTATTTGGTTTTTTGTGGATACAATTATTTGGCTAACAGAAAGTTTTTTTTTTTACGAGTTTTAAGTTTAAATTTTAAAATCCTAAAAATTACGGTGTGTAATTACATGTATCATCAAATCTTTTTACGTTATCAATTCAATTATTTTAGATAACATCTTAATGCATTTGTTTGAATTTAATTCGTCAAATAAGATTTATACTATAATTATTGTATTCTTAAAATGATAAAAAAAAAAAAAATATATAATTACGAATTTTTTTGACAGTGCTTTTATGAATAGAACCAAAAATTAACACCATTATTAGTCGAAAAACGTGAAGAAATTATCAGAATAAAAACCCCAAAAAATTACCATACATAGTTAAAAATATCAACAAAAATGTGATAATGCACGCTCAGAATTTATAAGGTGTAGCGAATTGGCTATTTTAAGTGACATTTTTGTTAATATTCAAATTCATATGCATATTTTATTGGTTAATCACGTGAAATAAAATAAAATATTCATAGAGAAATTGTTTCACGTGGTCGATTAACAAGAAAGCTACTACACTTGAAGTTCAGAAACCACATTTTCATTGTGAAAGCTTTATTCATATCGTAATATTTGTATTTATTTGGTAGGTCAAAAAAAATTATTTGTAATAAAAAAAAGAAAAAAAAGAAATCATTAAATTACCAGATTTTAAAACAATAATAAATTACGCATTTGAGATATCGATAAAATTGTTGCATGGTATAAGTTTTCTTTTTATTTATGTTAAAAATTCGGTTTCTTAGTATTAAAAGATGCTAAATATAGCTTCAGGCGTTTTTTTCACAGATAATTCTTTACGGGCGTTCCGCGTCCAATTAATATTAAAAATCGAATTTAACGACGGACCCCCAACAATAATTATTGTATACTTACGTGAAAAAAAAAAAAACACGAATCGTATTGTTCATGGTACTAATGGAATTCGGTACGGGATTATTTAAGAAACTCGCTATAGAAGCAAAATTAATCAATTTTCGTCTTGTATACTACGCGCGATTCGCAAAGGAGAAGTACTTACCAAAATCGATTCCGTGAAAGGCTATTATGTGTGATTTATGTGAAGTAAATGAAAAAAACGTCGACAAACTAAAAAAAAAAAAAAACAAAATGCGAACGAACCAGAGAAAAGATAGCCGAATAAAATATTATGTTATAGGTGTGTTCGCGGTAAGTAAAATAAGGGAAAAACCTTTTCCATTAGGAATGAATATACATAATATATTAAAATAATAATTATTATTATTATTTGTGTTTTGTGAGTTGATTGTATCGAAATTTCAAACACGATAATTGATGACTGTCAAAGACGGTGGATATATTCCTTTGTGTAACGCGCCATTTGTAGTGCCTCGAAAATTAACGAAACTAAAACTAAACAAATCTTTATGATTAATTAAAATGTACAAACAAATAACTTAAAAAAAAATTTAATCATTATTGGTAAACTATTGTAATTTCACTATATTTTAAACTATATGGGGCTTAAACGCCTTCCCCTCTCATATTTGAACAACTTTTTACTGAAAAACTTGCTTCAAAAACTAACAGTATACTAGCTTTTTTTTGTAGAATTTCGGATTTCGTCGGTGCTTTAGAATAACAGCTTTTAATTTTTAAATAACATAATTTTTAAACGGATGATTATATTTTAAAATATTAATTATAATATGGCTGAAGTTAAAGATGGCGAAGTAGAGGTTTAAGTATTAAGGCTCCCTTTTCTACAAAAAAAAAAAAATATGCTAGATTCAAGGAATGTGTGAAACATAGCCATACAAGATTAAATAGAGAAAGGCATCAGGAGTACTGAGGTGTGTTAAGATGATTGTAATTAATTCTGAAAGGTACATATTACAAAACTATGGCAAAAACAGCGATGTGGTATTTTTTGCTAAATTTTGGTCAATAGGCAGAGAGATATAGCAGAAGATTATATGAAGAGCTGAAAATACGAGAATATTTTGATGTGTAGAGTCAATAGTTACTAAAGAGGATGGAATTAAGACTGCGTTTATAAGGGGTAGCATAGGCGTTATTTCGATAGTTGATAAAATAAGAGAAAATAGACTAAGGTGGTCTATACATGTAAACAGATTAGAAGAATAAAAGGCTTTAAGAGTAAATTACGAATTAAAATTTGGTAAGAAGGTGAAGGAGAGAAAACAGTAAAAAAAAAGGTTAAACACGATTCAAAATTAAATGAGAACTGCTAGTACTGACGCGAGTGTAGATAATGTGAGTTACTAAGTCATAGTGGAGTGCAAGGTTGATCGAGGTTGGGATATATGAAAAGAGAGGCAAGGGAGAAGAATAAAACTACAAAACTTCAATTATTATGTTAATAATACAAGTACGTTTAACGAACAATCCATTTTCACGAATAACTTTCAAAATAAAAAAAAAATGTTGATATAATTATGCAAATATACAACGGTCAAACGGTTATGAGAATGTTCATGCATAAAACGAACTTATGTACTCTTATCGATTTTTTTTTTTCTTTACATAAAACGACAAGCCTATAACCCAGGATGGGTTTTCAGTATCAGATAACGGCGAGACGGTGTCGCGTGTGACGCCAAGTTTTACGCCAACTGCAATGGAATCCCGCGAACTTTTCTAAAATTCGCACGGTCTACGTACCTCCGTATATATATACACACACACACACACATACACATAATATATAGGTGAGGTAATCGTCGTAACCGTTTTTCTGAGTCGAAAAGAAAACGGAAATCAACGAAGGCGACAACGTGCAAGGGAGGGGTGGTGGATAAGTCGGAAAAGTGCCACAATATCGATAAGGAAACCGCAAACTTCTTACAAATTCTCGACAGCCGGGGAATTGTAGTGCTCAGGGTTTCCATCGCTTGCAATCGCGGAGATCGACATCTCGTGATTACGTTTTATACTCTTGGATTTTTTTTTTTTCATTATATATATATATACATATATACTCGTATATATATATATATATATATATATTAAGCAAAGTGCCAGAAAAATAAATTGGTCCAAAATCGATAAGTCCGCGTGCGTGTATAGGTAGGTACATGTTTATGTTTTTATATTATATTTCCGTATATTTTTGTTATTCTGATATTACTTATATATTTTTTTTTTCAAATTATTATTTCATATTTCTAACATCGAACATGTTGTTTATATTTTTCATTGAAATACGTATTTCGTATTCACTTTGTATGCGCACAACTATAGTATAGTCGTAGGTATTACGTGCGATATTTCTTGTCTGTGTTCATAAATATTTATTTGTCTCGGCAAATCTCCAGAACTAGAGAAACATATTTTTTATTTCTGTACAAGACGCTTCACAATATCATTATCATATTTGTTAATTGCTTTGGGAATGATAAAAAAACAATTTTATTAATAGTCACGTTCACTATAAAGTCATTCTTAAGGTGTAGAGTATAATTTTTATATTATTATAAGAGTTTACAGCTTATGAAAAACCTTGAATACAGTTTTCAAGAATCCGAATATAAAGATGAAACAATATTATCCATAAAAAATGAAATTTAATAATCTTCAACTTCAAAAAGCTATAAATAACTCAAAAAACGTCAGCGCTTTAAAAATATTATACCTCGGCTGATAATTGTTTTAATTATTTGGTAAAAATTTCAGATCCTTACGATTATTTTTCACCGCATTACAACAAAAAAGTAAAATTGAAATTAATAGAAACTATAGGTACTATTACACAAATATTCCTGTTTTTCTGGCGTTTTTTCACCCAGTATTAAGAAAAATTATAAGGAAATCAATAAACGATTCCCACATTGCACCAAATAGACAAAATTAGTTAGGTACCAGAAACTTCTCCCGAACAAACCTTCCAGTTTAAAATTTGATTACAGGCGGAAAATTCCCCGTATAATACTTTGCCAAAAGCGAAACGAACATCAAAAAACTGAATACTATCATAATATTATTATCATCATTTTGACGCATATATTATTCGGTTTTGATTAAATTTCCATAAAAACGTGAAACATTTTAATTTTTTTTTTCCGACAGTATAATTGGTTTATGATAGATGTTTAATTTGTCTCGTGAATCATTTGATGTAATAATATCGTTGTATTGTATTATAATCCGTATTGTGTTGCGAAACAATATAATTTTAATATATTTTTGAATGATGGTATATTAATATTTATATGTTTTGAGGGGGTTAATTATTATAGAATATAAAACGGTGTTATATTATTTATGACCTTATAAGTAATACTTCGAATTAAATTAACAAATTTAAATCACGTTTATATATATAAATGTATTTAAATATTTTAGGTAGTATTTTATTAATGTGAGTGGTTTTCATTTTTGATTTTTTTTTTTTTTTTTAATAGATTTTGGTTGTAAAATCCGTACATGTTTTTCGTTGAATTTTTCCTGAAAATATAAACTTTTGCACTTTATTGTGTATGTTAACTGATAATGAAGGTAAGACCTAAGTAGTGAAAGCTTTGGGCAGATGGAAGAAGCATGGTGTAAAGTGTGATAATTAGAACTAAGCAGGACTACAGCTTCTAGGTCTATAAGTAAATGTATAATGGATACATTTGGATTCATTGAATGATTGAATCTTTATTCATAATACCAAATTGATACTAGAGTATACATTGGAATATATTTTACAAATCACTTACTTTTTTGATACCTAATAATTAGATTAAAATAACGTTGAATCTATAACACAATTGATTAAAAGATGAGAAGACTATGGCTGATAAAAGAACTATAATAAATTAAATGAAATCGTTCACGGGTTTCCACACGATGTTCAATTCATAGGTAAATCTTATATTCATCGTGCAAAATAAGACTTTATTAGGTACTTGTGAAAAAAAGTACAAGATAGATTATATTGTAGTTTTCGTATTGATCATTCTGTATAAATAAATCTGACTATAGAATATTTGAAATGTACATATTAGTAGATAATATATAGGAAAAAACCTTACACGCTTGCATCCCGAAAAATTAGAATCGTTGTCGGTTAGTGATTTATATAGGTTGATAAACGTGTTCGAGCATATAGTTGTGTGCATTTTTTTCTTAGACTTATGACAATATAACGTAAAAGGGACCAGATCGAACACTCGAAACACTAAAAAAAAAAAAATCTCATCGACAAGACAATTTCTGAACCTTTCACACATTCAATATAACGAGTACCTACCTAAAAACAGTTTTCTTGTAGATTCTGGGTGTATTGAGGAAATAATTATTTTTACTAAAATTTTTTTTTTTTTCCAAAAATACTTTTTGGGTCAGTAAAACTGCTCAGATTTTTCTATGTGAACTTTTGCCACATTATACATTATTTGAAAAATTCTTCTACCGTTTAAAAAAACGGTATTTTTTGTACACTTGTCAATAATTTACATATATTTTATAAAAAATGTTTTCTTCTGCTAAACAATATGGGCATTTTAGACGTATTTTAGAGGTACCAACAACATTTGATATTTAAACTGACGATCACGAATTTTCCCGTCGTCCAGAGGAATCTGATAGATTTGATTATTTGGCTGTAAGTTTTGCACGAAATTTCTTCGCCGAAAGACAAGTTCAAGGGCTATACAAACTACACTACATTTTACCAACAGTACAACATCACTGTCCAGATAACGAAATTGTATATAGTAAGTAGATACTATTAATAATCTATAAAGAAACAACAACGTCATCGTCATTCCGGACCCTCAACACATGGCCCTTTTATATAACTACGTCAGAAGATCGTGTTATTATATTATATAAATAGACAGGTATAATATATATATATATATATATAGTTATAATAAGAACATGATGAAACTCGCCAATGGCAAAACTTCCACAAAAGATCGGATCTAAAATGTATAATGCAAATGGATAAACTTAAATTACCTCGCCGTGACGAAAATATAATAATATCATAATATATTAATAAGCCTTGCCGTTATTTGAGGCCCGCGAACAAATTTTAAGCATACCATGCATTTTTTATAATTTTTGACAAAATTAGAACGGTTGTGACGCTAGACGCAGAAATATATACAAATTTGCAAACCTATGTTTTAAAAACAATGTCTCTCTTTTGGCACAATACTTACACTTTTGAGCATATTTTTTCACAAGAATGGTCAAATTAAAAACTATTCCTCGCAATAACATGACGCTCACCTAGAAAACTTGTTGATGAATTTACTGTATTGAATACAAAAAAACAGAGAGATATTAGTTAACGAAAACAGTGTCAAATATTTTGGTGGAAAAAAAGCAGATATTGAGTAATATAATGCTCATTTGTTTCATACGAAACGATAAACCATTGCTAACATAATATAACGATTCTGAGTAGAGTATTATTTGTCGTATTACTATGCCAAAATATTTAAATACACACAGGAGCGTGCTCAAACGATTCAAGGGGGGGAGGAGTAAACCTCAAATACAGTATCTCAAATAAAATTAAAGAAGCTCCACTCCCCTCTATTTTGTAAATTTACAACAATTCAATAAACAGATTCGTATATTATACTACTAATATATGATATTATAATGCATTAAAAAAACACATAAAAAAATGTTATTTTCTTAGTTTTTTAACTATTTCATTTTATACTTTTTTAGCGGGACTTCTCCATGGACAACTAACATAGTAAGGTCATTAAGTCTAATCGAAAATAAATGTCTTGTCAAAAGAAAAATTGACTATTTGTCTTTTTATATCCAATTTATACCTCATTAATTGTGTTTCGTAGATAAATTTTCAATTTTTTGAGACAAGAAAACGTTCTTTCGGGGGTCGATATAGGTAAAGTGCATAGTATTTTTAAAAGGAATTATAATATATTAGGGAATATCTCTTTATTACATTGTGTTAATGTTTCTAAACATTTTTTGGGGTATTCAGCATTACGTAGATTATTTAATATATTATAAAGATGAATTAATAAAGTCATCGACACGGAAAATAGAGGGGTAGGGGTTGAACCTCATGAACCGGCCCCCAAAGCACGTTTTTGTGTACACATAAAACCAAATAAAAACTAAAAATAAATTTCAAATGACCATACATAGCTTAAAAATCGTCAGATTATTTTTTAAATTGTACTGCGTATAGAAAGGATAGGTTAGGTTAGAAAATATAAAAATAACACGTTTACATACGTTATTGCTTAAATTATTTTATTTTTCGACATTTTTACCAGTTTTTTTCCCGGGCAATTTTAAACATTACCAGAGAGGAACCAAAAAATCAAAATTTTCTACCAGAAATCGCCATAAATTTCATAACTGGAACAAGATTTCAAGTAAAAAAGTGGTTCACGGACAGAATAAAAAACACATATCATAGTAAAACTTGTGATAAAAAGTAACACGATCCTCGCTTCGCTCAGAATCTACAAAAATAGCGAAACATAGATTTGGTCTAAATGGCACATTGTGGAAATAAATAATCGATTCTATACCGGGAACAGACGGGTTCTACTAAAAAGAATAATTTAATAATATGTAAATGTTTTTATAACTTCCGAGCACTGTCTATTATTATCGCGGTCACTGATTATTATAATATGTGTGTAATATGTACCTGCAAACGTGTTGAAAACGTTTTGTTTAAGCGGTTTAATGGATTATTAATATCGTCAATTAACTGTCGGCCGTCATACTATATAATAGTAATAATAATAAATTAATAATATATGTTCAGGCCGTCAGGGATTCAGTGGTCTGACACTTTCTCGTTGTATAGGCGGCCTAAGCACCTGCACAACTGACTATTAAATAATGTTATATAATCATAAATAACTATCGTGTTTGCGCGGTCTCCTGCAGAACAATATTCTAAAATAGGTCGACAGAGTGTAGCGACGTGTCGTGGAAGACGTCTCTAGTCGCACGTCAAAATTTCGGACACTTTTCCGGATAACATTATCGTTTCCGATAGGATTAAAAATACATTATTTCAAAATGCTGAACGGAAATTGCGATTGTCACTATTTAATGAAAAGTTACGTTTTCCCATAATTTAATATCACAACGAACAATATTTGTAGTTTTTGTCCTCTACCTATTGGAAACCTTCACATTCGTAGTCTTCTCGCCTTTCTCTTCAGGACGTAGAATAATCTCAGTAAGTTCGTATAGGATTAAAATGATGCCATTTAGAGCAGCAGCAGTGAACGGGACGTGCCACGCTGGGTCTTTATCACGTATCGGCATGCTAGACGGACCGCACATGATCAGGTCCTGACCGTCACTTGACGTGATACTCCTGTCTCTAAGGAATGCTTTGACCATCTGCCGATAGAGTACCCACTCTTGACACTCAATATGTTCAGGTATGTTCAACGGGGTCCTCCCGATGAAGGCAGTATAAGCACGCTGCACCCTGGGCACGTTTCATCCAATGCAGGAAGTGCCTTAAGCAACCGTGACCCAATAGATCCTTGTGTATCGTGACAGAGGAAGTTTTTGGGACATCTCATTACCCATTTCTTCAGATCTGACAGAATTCTGCGTGTTCAGGTGGCTTTGTACTACGACCCTACCTATTGACCCAAGCGGTGAATATAGTTCCATGTTTGACTCTTTATTTTACAGAAAATCTACACAGTGAAGTTTTTCAACTGCGAAACGAGAAAATGCCTCCGCCAACTTTTGACATTCGCCGTTTGTTCTGTGACCGCGGTACTATTTTGTTTTTCACGTTTATTTTCTACGTCGCTTGTTAACAATGCCACGCGTGGCGTATCTTGTCGTTTCTTCCGAGATAAGAAAGTTATACGTTTTTACGTACTAGTTTTTGTTCACCAACACGTGCCAGACGGCTTTTAAATAATATTCCGTGTCCTTTTTGTATGATTTTTTTGTGACTTTAGTATTTCTCGATAGATTAGTGTATTTGCCGACCTTTGGATACCTTATCAGGAATGTTTTGACAAGCCTACGGTTAAACCCATCCTGGTTTCCCGTGGATAGCATTGAGCTTCATAAAATTTCGTATTATTAAGGTGTTCCATAATAAAAAATGACATTAGCGCTCCAAAAATTTTAGGTATTAAAAAAAAAAAATTAATATATTTTTGTCGCTTCGTTTAGAAAAATATAAATTTGCGTATACGTCGTATTGCCATTTATATTTTACTGTCCAATTTCTGATTATCAAATTAAATTTTTTAGTAGTAAAAGTGTTCTCGGCCGGCAAAAAAATACAATTTTTAATACAATACGTAAATTTTTTGTATTTTTATCTATTTTGTTTATGTTGGTAGAAATATTATTACTCATATGTTACTGATAGCAGCGATGGTGGTAGGTATCAAAAATTATGATCCGAATTAAGTATGTATGGATACTCAGGAACGGTTTTCTTTTGGGAGTGTTTCACTGAAAAATATTAAAAAAATTATAAAATGTGTTTAGGTACATTATTTTTTTCATTATCAAAAGTTTTGAAGTGATTTTAAGTTTTCTTACGTTTCAATCAGCAGTTTGTTAACCACTCAGAATAAATGCTAATAATATTCTGTTTTTCTCCTCGAGTTTGTCCTAATTATTGGGTTTTTTTTTCATTTTTATTTTATGGCCTATCTTGTGACGTCTTTTTGTTTTAGTGATTTCCTTTTCCAAAAAAAACCACATTCATTCTTTCGTTGTCCGTATTGGGATTTTCGATGTATTGAAACAAATAAGAAATTAAAAATCCCTAACGTTCATCGTATATATTGTTGTTTTTTCCCTCGTGATGTTGCCCCTTACAATAATAGATTTGCATTTTTTTGAATACTTTTACAATAGTAGGACAAAGAGATCAGGCTTTTACTTTGTATTTTTTTCTCGTTTCAATAACGAATTAACAATTCGATCGCAAATACTATTTATTATTTATTCACTTTTTGTTTTGTTATTATTATTTTTAAATTAATTTCAAACGGTAAAAAAGACACGAATCAACTTACAAAAATTAAATATATATATATATTATGTAAGTAGTTCGGTATAGGTGCCGTTATAGTGTATTTATATTCACTGAAAGTTTGATGTTAAATACATATTAAATGTATAAGTACTGTAAACTCGAGTATATGACGTAAACGGGTGTATATTTAAGTACACGCTTACATGTACTAATGATTGAGTATACCTAATTATCGCTTGATTAAATCGCCAAAATAATCGTTGATTTAAATGACATGTCATAAACGTTGTAAGAATGTGTAAAGATGCTACGTTAAAATAAAATTCAATCATTTTAGCCGTTTCGTGTGTAGGAATAAAGCGAATACTGAACACGGGTAAGCAGGCCCTGATTAAAGATCTAGTACATCTTTGAAAAAGGGAATTTAGCTAATCATTTTTGGCGAAAGGATGTATCGAAAAACGGATATATTGGCGAATGGATATATCGGTGTTCGGATAATTTGGCGAACGGATATTTCGGCGAAACGATTTATTTATTTGGGGCAAAAATCAGACAATATTATCTGTACTTAGATGGTAAAGTTTCCGTTTTTTACGTTTTATAGCCTCTAAAAATAATACTGTTAATCCAAATTCTAATAATAGTATCAGTTTGGCCGAACATTATCGTAATAATGTTTATAGAAACATTTTTTTAGGTAATTTTATCTTTACTTATTTGTCAATTTATTCACCTTTTGTTTAAAAATATTTCTGCCCCGAATTTTACTCCGAATCGTTTTTCGTTGACAATAGTTTATCTTTGTATACAATCAAAAATGAATAAACTTATGATCCTACCTTCCCCACATCTACCCCGTTCCCAATATTTACTCTTTTTTTATTATTTTTTTTACTCTAAATAAATGATTTGTTTCGCCAAAATATCCATTTACCGAAATATTCGTTTGCCTATGTATTATTTAACGAAAACAAATCGTCAAAATATTTTTTACCAAAATGATCGGATATCCGTTATTTTTGTCTGAAAAAATATGTAAATTATTAATTATTCAATGCAACACCGTCGAGTAAGAATTATAATTTCAGTCATTAAAATGTAGTTTTTGTTGCCATTATTTAAACCATCAAACATTTTTGTTCGATTTTCAGATGAAGATAAATTCAAAATTAATATAACAACATTTTTTGTTATAGGTGCATGATTAACAGCATATTATGCAAAACATAAATAACCTATTATTATAATATAATTTATTTTTAAAACTAAAATAAAATCGATTTTGTGTGAAACTCGATGAAGCTCGAACACGTTTCCCTGGTTAAATTATAAACAAAACTTAAATCAAACAATTAAACCTTCACAACACAATAATTACTAATTATTTTTATAACATTGGATAATAATTATTTCAGGTACCAGAAACTCTCTAAAGTTCTCTAAAAATCTCTAAAGTTAATGACTAGAGTAAAAGTATAAAAACAATTTTAAAAGGACACGTCCGTCTTCATAATAAAACCATAATAATACAATTTTTCCCTTTTTTCAGGGAAAAGTAGAAATATTATTTAATATAAAATAGTGGGGAGAGTTTAAAAGTAGAAACCTTTAAAATACGTACCCTTGGCAAGAACGCAATTCATATGAAAAATTGCATATCCCTTATATCTTCACAAACCGTAAATGAAATACTATATTTTTATCAGACGCAATACATTGCAATACTAATCTCGCATTTTCGGAGAAAATTCGATGTAAACTACCACAATGTCATTGTAAAAGAATAATATAAATTACCTCCCTCTGTTACTATATAATAATGTATATCGACTTGCAGAATAATTATTATTCCGTTTCCGACATTGATTTAATTTTCCGCCGAACGTCTGTCGTCTTGAATAATGTAATATTTTTCGTTCGTTTAATTATGTACAGTTACTACAGGCGATTTGCATATTATTTGTGTATACGTGTATACGCAAAATCTGACGACAAACAGGCGGTCAAAACGACGACATTTTACGTTTAAAATTAGATTTGCAAAAATAAACGTCCTCTTTCCGCAACTATATCGTATTATATTATATCCTTTCGGAACGACTCGGTATATATATATAGACTTTTTAAATATGTAAATCTTGAGAGTCTTTTCGAGTCAATTCTAGGCGCACTGGCTACAGCTTAGGAGGATCGTCCCCTTAAAACCCCTTTAAAACCCGTGAAACACCGAGAAAGGTTAGAGGGTTAAATCGTTTTAAAATGAAATCTTATCCATCGTATTCTGTCTGCATGTCGAATTAGTGGGCCGCGTTATAAACGGTTTTTTTTTAGGCCTTTTCAAAATTAATTGTCGACAATTCCCAAAGATTAATAATAATATAAAATATTGACTTGAAAACTAATTTAAAACTAAAAAATATTTTTTCTCTTGAATGTCTGTCGTACGTCGACTTGTTAGGGCAAACGTTTAATCACAAAATCATAAACTGTATATAATTAATGTTCGTCAAGTTGGCACCGGTACATTATGCTAGGACTATATAACTTTTATCAACATTTTCTTTTAGTATTTTGCCAGGATTCCTAAACTTAAGAAATCCTCAAACAAATATGTCAGTACTATTTTTGTGACTGCACCAGGCACATTGTCCGATACTAAAAAAAAAAATGTCAATTTATTCAGATGAATTTGCTAAATTATACTAGAGAATTTTAAGGATTTTTCTAGGGCCCTCCGGGGAAGGTTTCATATTTGAAATCAGCACCAGTCACGGAACACTTTTTCCAAAAAATTAAACATGTCTATTTACATTTTAATATTTTAGTGTGGTGAATATAGAAATGTGCCGTGGCCAGTGCTAAAGCCAAATTCGAAACCTTCCCCGGAAGTGACAGAGGCCTTAGCAAAATCTAATAAATTCGTCTGAATAAAATAACATATATTTTATTTTTTTTTTTTTGGAATCTGACAATGTGCCGGTGCAGCCACAAAGATAAAACCGACATATTTGCTTGTGGATTAGCGAAGTTTAGAAATCCTAGCAAAATTAAAAATGCCCTAGCAAAATCTCGACGGATATTATAATATTAATATGGACGATGGCAACTAATGACAACACAAATATCGCAAACCATTTTCTTGCGATAACGAATATTTTATACAGAGAATAATTATATATTATCTACCCGATAAATATGTAAATTGTATACAATATGTAATAATACAAATAATACAATATTATATAATAATAACAGATGTAAAATGTCGGTTGTATATTATTGATTGAAAACTTTAGTACAACCCAGGTGTAGTTTGATTTCGTTCTGGGTGACTATTTCATGTGATACTAGGACATTTTTTCCGAAGATAACAAAAACTTGACCAGCTACACCATTTTAGAATTCTATAACCTACATAACCGACACGATGTTGTTTTATCATTTCTCCCTCTACTTTGTGTTTAAAATTGTACACTGTCATAGGCTACAGAAAATTAAGTACAATTACAATATGACTTTCTTATTTATTTGAAAAAAAGAAAAAATCTTTGGGAGATCTATTTCCCATATTCTCCTCGTCATCGTCATTACACTACTACAAAGCATTTTCTATTTTAATACGTATTATAGTATTTGGATAAGATTTATTGTTTTACAAAGTACTCTTATATTTCTATAATATAAAATAGGTCCGGGAAAATTCAACTCTATGAGCGGAACTTTGATCAATGATATTTGTTTGTTTTTACTATAAACCATGTTTTTGAAGTTTAAAAGTTATGAGAGAAAGACATTCAGTAAAAAGAAATGAGTCCAACGATCTATTATAAGCACATAGTATAGATTTAGTGTAAATAAGTTTAAGAACTCGCTGTCTTGTATATATAAACTTAACTTAATTAGTTGTATCCCCTTACCATAAAATAGTGGTAGCTCTGAAAAGTAACTATTTGGCAACAAGAATATAAACAGATAAGTTGCATAGTGTACTTAAACCTAGTCAAATATATCACGCAATATAAACAAAAGAAGTAACACACCGTTGTGCAGTATAATACGACAGAAGTTGGAAGTTGAAATTTCATTCTCCTAAAACATTAATATCAAAATAGGTATTTACAAAATTTATCTGTAAGTAGCTGTTGTTGCTGTTAAATTCGCCAAACACAATATTGTGTGCATGGCACTGATGATTACTAGTCACAACATATACAAACGAAATTACAATAATTATAATGCAATGTCCATTATGCTATCGAACGGAATTATTTTATCGTTAGGTCAGTGTTCCAATATTATTTTTTAAACGATTTACTAATCGGGTACGCATACAATTACCACACATGCCGTCCCATGAACAACGGTCAGCAACCTGCAACCTGCAAAACTATTCTCTTTTATATTTATTATTTTGATTGTTTTACTGGGTAGCTTGTAAAACTTTTTAGAGACGGATGGAAACGAGTCGAAAAATAAATTTTAAAAATAAGTCCAATCAGTGTATATGAATCATCATGAACAAAAACTTAGAAAATGAGTTCAGTCAAATTATTAGGTAGAAAACTATGTCGGTTTTTTTTTTGTGTAACCAAGAAAAACCAAAAATTAATAAATTCGAGTGTGAGCTTCCGTATAGAAATACAACTTTAAAAATCCACGAATAAGTACTTATTTAATTGTGTAAATTTTTGTAAATTTTTAAAAAATGGAAAAAAAAATTGGTGAAATTTTAGAATAAAATCGGTAAGGATATAGGTTGAAAATCGAAACTCCCAAAACGCACATCGTTCTTGTCTTGTGCTTTGACTTGTGTCTCCTATCCCGAAATTTGTGTGCTAAAATCAAATTGTTTTTTTTCAAATACAATTCTTGAAACAAAATCGAGAAACGGAGAAAAAAGTCGACCCGAAAAAAAGGTCGGTGACCTGCGCTATGGGCTGCAGGTCTTATAGAGTAAATCAGTCCCCCCCATTATATTGTTGTGTACCTAATCATAATACAAACGCTATTCGAAGTCTCAAATATACGTGCACGCGTTCCGCGCGAAACGAGATGGTAGACGCCAAAGGGAATAATTTTGTTGTTTTTTTTTCATTTCATTACAGACGAAGAAGCGCGCGTAAATTACGCCATTAAAGTTTCCGTTAAAGGCGACGATGACGACGACATAATGAATAGTTCAAAGGACGTCGTCCGTAAGCTAATATCTCACATTCCCGTCGTTATGGTGACGCTCGGCGACAAAGGGCTGTTGGTATGTATGTATGTATGTATGTGTATGTGTGTGTGTGTGTGTGTGAGTGTGTACTGTGCATATGACTGGAACACGGTCGGCGAATGTTAAAAATTTAACTTTCATCGTGAGTAAAAAAAAAAAATTACACAATACTTTTTTTTTTAAATGTTTTATAGTTAGCTTCCAGACAGCCCGACGACACGGTTTCGATGGTTCACTATCCGGCGTACGCGGTCGACACGCCCGTCGTCAGTGTTTCTGGAGCCGGTGACTGGTGAGTATGATATATATTACCTACACAACTACTATTAAATGTATAAAACATCACCTTTCTTATGTGTCTGAATAATAACGTCAAAAAAGCGATGTATTTTTTTCGCGTCAGTACTAAACAACGGCATCAAAAAATTACCATAAGTATCTATTTTTAACATAGCTAAGTCTAGAATCGTATCTTTTTTTTAATCATCATAAAGACACCTATTCGACGGAAGCTAATAAAATTAATCATAACTATTATTATTATTTACTATTGTTTCGAATCATCAATAATATAAGACTGCATGTGCTAATTACATGCACGGAAAAGCCAAACTCCACAACTATAAAAGATCAGTAGAAAAAATACTTTTGAAAATGCCTGAAAACGAGGTGGGAAATGATGTGACAAAAAGTATGTGGAAGTTTTAGGAAGAAAGTGGACCGAATCATCAAACGATTTTGGCGATGAATAGATGAGGTGACATGTGAATAATTGGTTGAAAAACGGTATAATCCTAAAGACCTAACATACCCTCATAAGTTCTAATAATAGAAATAGCGTAATTATAAAATAAAGACATATCAAACATATCCTTACTCACTTATATACTTAATTATAATAGATATTTGTATAGCCATTTTACAGTAAAACTACAGTGGATTCCGTTTAATATGGGCAAATTGGAACCAGTTACAATTACTCATATTAAGTAGCTGTTTATACTATAACCAGACCAGACTCTAATGCTCATATTAGAAGTTGTCCACATTAACTGGGGCCCCCATTAAGTGGGATCCACTGTATACAGTGTATATTAGGACTATTTAGCATTTTTACATATAACTCTAATGTAAAAATGTCAAATAGTCCTGTTACACCCTGTATAGACGAAATAGAGATCGTATAGAGATCGAAAACTTATCAATTTTACTTGGGAAATGTTAAAAATTAAAACTCGGAGAAATATTTCTTAGTTGTTGATTAAAAATAACAATGAATAATGTCATTTCACATTACGTATGTATAAAATGTTTTATATAGTATACGAGATATGAAGTCACACTTGTACTTGAACAATTAATCGGCTCGATAATTTTAATGAAACAATCGAGGAGACGTCGTTAAAAATTAAACTTGACGACCCGAAAACTTTTACTTACTATGAATTCAATTAGATTATTTGAACGCAAATTCAAAAATCTTTAATAATGTTACGGCGCAGTATATCGGGAACGGCTGAAAATCTATTTCGTTCCGTCGCGCGTCGTCGTCATTTTAATTCTTTCGACATTAATTGGACACGATTGTTCGGTCTGGTTTTAAATTCTGTGCGAAGCGAGGAATGTATTAATTGGATGTACTATAATATGTTTTTTTTTCGTGTCTGTTAACAATTTTTCTACCAGAAATCTTGCTCCAATCGAAAACTTTTAATGAATTTATTTATAGTATTTTTGATCTGATTGGTGCCCTATAAAGGAGGTCGTTTTTTGATTTTTCTTGTGAAAGGAATAAACGAAAAGAACTTGAAATCTTTGGTATAATTATTGTGATCTCTGGGTTACTATGACAACAAAGGGAAAAATACGACGAATAATATTCTACTCAGAATCGTTTTGCATTAACAAGGGTTTATCATTGACTGAATTTATAAATTGAATTACTCTTACTCGTATAATTCCTCCCTTCCAATTTCCTTCTCAAAAACAGTAGCAGACGAGGATAAATATTTTATTAACAAAATTTACTCATTTTCGGTATGCACGTGTATTCAATAATATGTAAAACGTAGGTATTTACCATATTATAATTTTCCGCTACAGAATGAATTTTTTTCATTAGACTCCTCGAATGTTCAAGTAGTAATATTCAAACGGTTTCCGAGATTTCTAAAGAAAAAAACAACTAAATATACAATATTCCATAAACTTTTGTTATAAGCTTTTTTTTTTTTCCAAAACCCCACTCATAATCTTTTCGAGAATTATTTTGATGATTCATCAGTATATCGCGTTTTAAAAAATAAAGACCGCAACGTCTATATAAAATCGACCCTAACCCTTCGCTAAAAACGGTGACTATATTATACAATATATGAGTGCCACGCGTCTGGACGGGGGGGAGGTGAATGCGTCTCATATAAACATATTCACGTCTGGTTTTTTTTTTGTTGATAAATTTCATTTTGCATGGTTTTCGAAGTGATGGCGAGAATCATCGTCGGGTCCCAGATAATTTGCTCGTGGTTTCGATTGCCTCTCGACTCGGACAATTCCCCGTTAAAGCCATACCTCATGTATAAAGAATAAAAACTTTTTTTTCGCAAAAGCATAGAAATATTCTACAAATTTATGTATAACATGAAGAAATAAGAAGAGGTGGTCGTTTTAAAAAATTCACTATCTCTGTCAAGCAACTTAATATTGACGACATATTATAACAAATATCTGCAGTCACACAATAATTTATAACACAGGGTGATCAATCATCAATAAAACAATGTAGGAGAGTATTTGAAATGTTAAATAGCAACCTATATTAAAATTAAATTGTTGGTAGTGGTTTCACCCCTAAAAAGAATATTTTAACAATTTTCCAAAACAAAAATTCTGAAAAAAGTTAATATTTTCCGAGCAAATGTCTTATCGAGGATTAATGGTATCGTACATACAAATATTTTAACAATTATTCCCTCGAAACGAATATACTCAGTCGCGTAGCCAGCAGGGATAGTTAATGGGTTATTACCCCCTCTAGAAATTAAACAACTGTGACTACTTTGTTTTCAGGTACTGTAATTTAAGAAACATTTAAATTTATTAACACGAATGAAAAGTTTGGAAAATTACAACTCCCCACCTCCAATACTCTTTTCTATTCACGCCACTGACAACACTATATATTTAAACTTTGGGTTCTGTCCTCTTCTGAATTGCCAGTTTTCAAATGACAATTTCTAGTGTCACGAATCACGCTGTTTTTTTCGAATGTTTTAGATGACTATGTAATGTTTATAAACAAAAAAAAAATAGCAAATAATAAAAAATCGACATCGTGTCACGACTGATTTATCTGTATTTTATTATAATGCCTCCTCGATACGCGCTTATCGTCGGATCGTTTTTTATGATACACTTGACTTTTCCGCCTTCTGTCTATTGTTTCCGCGATATATTATTAAAATTATTTTTTTTGTCCTCGAAAAAACCGTTATACAGAGTGTTTCTGAAATGAACGAGAAAATTAGTAAATGGATGTATTTAGTATAGATTGTTTTTTTAGTAATCAGCTTTGTGTATTCAATTTAAAACTTTCCCGTTAAATGAGTAAACGGATTAAATCTAAAATGTTAATCTTTGGCTACGGTTTATGAATTGGCCATGCCATTTTCGTCCAACAAAATCGTTGATTTATTTTACTATAATTATTAGACGATATTTTTGCTGAAAACCCCGCATTTGTTGTACGTTTACTATCACAAAATGTATGCAAGTTGAAAAATAATTATTTTATGATATGTTCCATAATTTTTTCATACGAATCGTTGACACGTCATTTATGCACGTTTTCGTGCGATTTCAACTCATAAATACATCAAATATGTCACTAAAATAAAAAAAAAAAGTGATTTTATTGAGACTCTTTTATCTTTAGGTGAATTAAGCGGGAAATTGTATGGTATAATTATTTGTTTATCGAAGTCCAACATGTCTAGTCAATAACACAATCTTATCTCATATCATAATCTCATAGCACCAATCTAATCTTGTAGGAATCATATAAGTTATCGATAAATAAAGTATACTATGATATTTCTTAAAAAAATTCCACTATAATTCTTACCAGAAAAGTCTACGCTTGAAAAATTAAGCTAGAAACTAAACGTTTACTAAAATGTTAATCATACCGGTGGTAATATATAGCTATTCTACATCACGTAAATACATAAATTTACGATGCTTCTATTAAAAAAAAAAAAACTGTGATTTATGTAAAAACTGCGGTATAATAATAATTATTTTTTACTTTTTTTTAAAGAAAAAATATATTTATATTTTTTAGGTTGAAAAGGGCAATTATAAATATTAACCGCAAGGTTGTCTCCTTTACGAAAAATACCGTTCGGCCACACCCTTCTCTAACATTTGGAACATCCTATTCCAAATTTTGTTCGACTATTATTACAGCATTGAACGTTTTTTCATAAAATGTTGAATGAAATATTCCGGGACGTAGGTTAGTTTCGATCTTAAGACGATCCAAAAAATTAACTTGGTCAAAAGGGGCAAAAATCATAGTACTACATTTTGCCATCGAAATACGGAGATGCGGTCACAGCACTCGGATTGTCTTACGGGTACGAAATTGGTTTTTTCGTACTCCTCAAAATATATTGCTATTTCCCGGACCACTGCACTGGCCACATACCATACGATTTGTAGAAGAAACATGGTGGTTCAGAAAATAAATAAATAAAAGGACGCGTGTGTGTAAAGCAATTCTGTACTAGTCGCTTGGCAATTGTTTGTTGCAACACATATTTTATTTATTTTATTATTTATTCTATTAATTTATCAAAATAAAGCAAATAGCGAATAATTAAACTTTGATAATTATGATAACTATGATCTCGTAATTATTAATAGAAATTATAAACAATTATATCTATTCGGGGTAGGATTCGTAAAAAATTATAATACTTTGCGGAACTTCCCCCCTTCGTGGTTGAACTCCTAATTCCCTAACTCCTAGGATTCCCGTTTGAAAATCAATAAATGATAAAATACGTATGTATTTAAAAATATTATCAGTACACGATTATATAATATGCGGTAACTGACAAAAACCAAAATCAAATTTCCATGACATTTTCATAACGAAAAAAAAAATACTTTCTCGGAATTAATCACATTTTCACTACTTTAAATAACATTGTTGAACAATGGAATAACAATTTTTGGTTATCTGCAGTTTTCTGACGTTTTGATTCGTTTGGGTTGCGTTTTCCGGTCACACAATAATATGAGCCATATCAGATGATAAAATGGTCGCATCGAATTGATAAGGTCGAAAGTTTTACCAGGAATAGTTGTGTGGTTTACGTCAACACTACTAAGAGGGGAGGGCTTGAAACATAGTAACACAATTGTATAACAATAGTAATTGAATTCCGCATTCGTTTGAGGGGTGTCAAAAGTTTTCATTATTATTTTTTAATATGCATATAAAGTTTTTAGTTCAAAAAAACAAATCAGAAAAACGTGACGAACACAAAAATATATACAAAATAGTCTCCACTGAGATAATAATTCCGGTAAAATATATTTTTTCATTTATATATTTATATGTATATATTTCATTTATTATATAAGGTACCTATACATATTTTATTTTCCTCCCGCCACACCAATTTTAATATTTAATTAAGATGGGTACAGTAGTACATGCTGTTATCACTATGCTTCGCGTTTTAAAGCAAACTAAATTAATAAAAAGACATGGGATATTAATTGATGAAAAGAAAAAAATGAAGCGATTGACAGCTCAATTACGGTACCAAATGTCACGATTTGTCAAGTGAGCATGATTGGCGTATGATCAACGAATCATCGCCGCAAGAAATAACACAGTTTACTAAATGGCATATAAAAGGAGAATATTCACAGCTCAACTGTTCTACAGTCCTCTAGGAAAAACGAAAACATAAAATCGTTAAACCAAAAAAACGAAGGTATTGTTTGAAACTTAAAATAATTACTTTTTTAATAGATATACCGTATCATAATACATCGTATATTAAACAAACATAGTAATGATGAGACTTCGGACGAAAAAAGTTGAAAAATAAAATGTATTCGTCTCTAAAATCGTACGCCTGTCATATTATTTTTTTTTTCACGTTTTCAGCACTTCCGAGTTTAGAAATAAAAAAATAAAAAAAAAACGGTAAAAAACGATGTGACACACTGCACACGACTTTAGGGTAAAACTCTGCACGCTTATCGTGTGGTTCCATTATTATTATATTTTCTTTTTGTCTTTTTTTTCGTTTAAATAAATATAATATATATATATATGTATTATAATCAAACGTGAACTAGAAAAAATCAGAGTAACTTTTTTTTTTTTCTATGACGAAACGGTTTTTTTTTCTATACACATCCGTGCACAATGTATATTATATTTCTACTCGCATGCTGTTTCATCCATTGTTCCACTGCAGCAGGGTTTTTTATTTTTTAATATCTTTTATTATCTGCAATAATGTACACAAAATGTAGAAGTATATGCATTGTTTCGTTAAAAAATGAACAATATAATAATACACTATATAATATATATGTATACAATACATGAGCATTTAGGTGGTATCTGAACGTATTATAATATAATATTTCATAAAATAAAATTTAAAAAAAAATTGTATTACAATAATTATTTTGTACGTTTTTTCTGTTATTTGTGCGGTATGTAAATAAAGAAAAAAAAAATCGCACATGAACAGCGCTTCGTTCTATACAATGGTATCGTTGAGTGTTTCCCTACCTATTTCGTAGAAATATTCTTTGCAAAACAATAAAAAACTGAATACTATAATAATACTGTAACGTTCAATGTTTAAATAAACTATTTAATTATACTATTTCCTAAAACACTGTGATTTAATCATAAAAATGATAGGGGTAGAAACTGAAATATAAAAACTTCAAAAGAGACATCCTTGGCACTAATGCCATTAAGAAATAACACTTCATACCCTGGTTTCATTTAGGGATGTTTAAAGTTAAAAGCGACCTCATCCGACAACAACACGGTAAAATGCATCTCAACTTTTACCACTTTAGTCGGTCTATACATATAATAATAATATACCATATTATAGGTAAATAACAACTATAGTTCATGATTTTGAGCTCATTTCGTTCAAAGAAAGCCGCCAACAGGGTTAAAAAATAGCGAAAAAATGACACAACAGAAACGATGCAGTACATATTTTCGGGAAAATTCGATGGAAATAAAAATACCTAATAAACGCGTATATTTTATTTTATTCAATTCCATATTAAATATTATATTTAGTATCCAATTTCAAAAGTTATTGGTGTGGCTTCGTTCACTTTTGATTTACAATAATGAGACTCGGACACAAATATACTCGAATTAAAATGTAATTATTGAAAAATACGTGCGTCATCCGATCGACATTCCATTTTGATCTTTTTAAATTCCCGTCCAAGTTTAGATTGCGTTCGATTTTATCTAAAAAAAAGTATTAGCAGTATACATACTATAGACGTATTTGTATTCTTTATACTTATTTTTATTTAATACTATATAATATTGGATAACTGTATTAGAATGATCAAAGCGTGCGTACAAGACTCTAAAGCACTGAAAAAGAAGAAGAAGAAGATTTGAAAACTATTTAATATACTCTTTACAAGACCGTATATTTGTATCTATAATATAACTTAATACCATTATCACAATGACTTTATCATGGAAGCGAGACTACGGTGTCTAAATCCCCCGGTTCCTTGAATTCTTTTCACGGTGTTTTTCGAAAATGTTGAAGCAAAAAGTAATTGTTTTGACGGAAATTAAATAATTATTTCCTTTAATCGTATAATCTTGTTTACCGATTGTAGAATTATGTCTATAGTTTCCTCTTCTATAACAGAATTGCAAATATGGACGAAAAAATGTAGCTTATTGGAAACATACATTTCAATGGATTTTAAGCTCCAAATGTATGCACATGTTATATAGAATGGAGATTTGCATCGCAATATTTATTTTTTAATTAAAGTGTTATGCACTTTACCCGCGTTGACTGTTACATGAGAACGTGCTCTTTCTACTTTAAATGGAACAAAAACATATTTGCAGAACACTATGTCGGAGGAACCTATATTTGTTATTATTAAAATTTCAAACATTTTGTGAAACAATAATTACATAACTTATAGGTATCTCTACTAAATGAGCATTATTATCAATTAAATATTTTGCTTTTAGACCAAAAAGAAAATATTTTAAATGAATCATTTTCGAAGTCAAGAAAATTGAATGTGTGTTTTAATAGAGTAGTTATACCTACCTATAATCTCTTATTGTATATATACTTACATAAAAAATGTCAATAACAAGTTTAATCATGTCTGTAATATACAATAAAATAAAACAATTGGGTATACATTGAACTTTCTTTTAGTTATATCATTTTCAAAAATTGCCCCCCTCCCCCAAGAACCAGCCTAAATTACACCACTGTTTTAACACATAATGTATCAACTGTTGATTTTCAAATAGTAATAATTGGCGTTAAACAAATAACATTAAACGATTCCATATTATATCTAATACTTTTATAAAAAAAAAAGTACCAGGAAATAAAACCAAAATCAAATATACTCAAAATCTTTTTAGCTTTTATATTATATAACAGACACTCTGTATAGTTTATATAATATACTAAGTTAGGTACATAATTTCTTACCAGACGCCAAACTGAAAAATCAAAGACCCCGACAGACTTTGCAGATATCATGTTTGGGAAAAGTTTAAATTGATTTATAAATACGCGTTTTTAGAATGAGTTAACGTCATTTCGGATGTTTGCGCTATCGATATCGGCGAATACGTGCGGAAATGATCTCTCCGGGAAAACGTGCGGTTTTAATATTACTACCCTATAAAAGTGTTCAGCATCATTGAACGCGAGACGACCTTTTTTTTTTTGGAAGTGTGCGGTGTTGATAACTGCTACCGCCGGTATTTACGTGTATATATGATTCCGGCATGATTCCATTTTCCATTTTATCATTACGAATAACGCGAGATATTCTTTTTTTCAAAAAAAAAAAAAAAATTACAACTAGTTGAAACTGCAATGAACAATAACTTGTATACATTTGGTAAACGAAGTATTAGGTATACAATGGTTTTTTTCCGTTAAAAAGATTTTTTTTATTTCATAGTCTTTTTGGTTGTTTTCTACTCAAGAAATACAACGCGCCTGGGTGTAAAAAAAAGAAGCCCAAAATGACTTTATTAACGTCATATATTATAAAAAAATCAGCTTTAAAAAACGATAATAATGGAATTGAAATATTTTGAATGGAAAATGGGCCCCGGCAGAACGATTGTCACTGTATCGTTTGGTTGGATTGAGAAAGAAGAAGGAAATTTTTTTTTTCAGTTTTACGATCCCCGGATCCCGACAAATCGCAGGCTTAGTATTCACTGTCGTGAGAGGGAATAGGTTTATGATAATATTATTATTATTATTTTTATATGAAAGTAATCCAGTGAATTAGGGGATTCTAGTGTGGCTCTGAACGACGGTGTCGGGAGCGGGGGTAGGAAGCGATAAAAAACCAACGGTAGAAGTTTTTCTGCTTTGCATATATTCTATATAAAAAAAAAGTAATAAAATTATAATAATAAGCTCAGTAATTATTTCTGTATAAGCCGCCTCTACGGATATGTTTCTGTTCAGAAGGAATCTCGGATTTTCTCTTTTAACTGGTGAAGTGTGTGTGTGTGTGTGTGTATTCCAGTGTTCTTGTGGATAGTAATGGTTAAAAATTGCGGAATTTTTCGAACGCTCAGTCGATTGTGGTGTACGGGAAAGTTAATTGAGACAAAAAACTAGAAATTTCGCATGTTTCGCACTGAAAACTACGATTTTTCATTACACTCGTAGAAAAACTATTTGAGTAAATAATGTTTTTGATTCTGAGCAAAGCTATTGGTTTTGCTATGATGTGTGTTTTTTTTCCGTTTTTTTTGTATCTGTATACGCAACTTTTCTGCGAGAGCTTTTTCCGATTGAAAAATGATAATTATTTTATTGAATCTAGTTGTTGCTATAAGGAAGTCATTTTTTTTAATTTTCCAAGAGGTTATCAAAATAGTTAAAAAAGCGGAAAAAAAATGTAGAAAATACTAACAAATATTTACGGTGCACTCCTGTGTGACTGATTTCATTATTTTTCATTTTTACTAATTATGTCGTCTACCAGACATGTTTGTTATATTTTATAATATTTGGTGAGAATGAATGTCATTTTTGATTTTCCGAATAGTATTTGTCATAATTGGAAAAAACGAGAAAAGACATAAAATGAAAACTAACAAATTTACGGATATTTTATTTCGTCGTTTTAAATATGTATGCATTATGTTTTCTACCAGAAACAGCGAGACTTTTTTGTTGCATTTTTAATATATGTATTGTTAATGAATAAGGAAAATTGTTTTCAATTTCCCGTGTAGTTTTTTAATAATTGAGCAAAACTTCGAAAAAAATGTAGAAAGATTGCGAAAATTTACGGAAATAATAATAATTTCATAATTTTTAATTTGGTTTTTTTGTTGTAATTTAGTTAAAAATGATCGTAGAAAATTGAAATTTTTTTTAAAAAACTTATATTTATCTTTTCTATACATGGTCAAATTTTCAAAATATTTAACTGATCTTTGAGTTATTCTTAAGTGTTTATGTTTGCGAGTTTTTACTTAGTTCTTATTTATTAGTTACTACGGGAATATAATTGTTTGACTCACCAGAAATACTTGAAAATTTAACAAGGGGTTCATTTTAAGTTATACTTAGTGTTCAAAAAAAAAAGTATAGTGTAACGTAGTGTTCTTTTTTATAATGTTTTTAAAATTAAATTTCGATGATAATCATAAATAGTAGCCTTTCAAATCATATATAATTGACCTAACCTTATGTGTCCTACTTTCTTAATTTCTCACCTACAACAGTGTCGTACTCATCAACAGTATATCAGCTCTTTATTTTTTTTAATACAAGTATAATAATTGCACTCTAACGTATTTTATCGACTTTTGTATACATTG